AAGTAGGAAATGTTTCATTCTTTCAAATAAATTTCTCTATTCTACAGTTATTTCTAAACCACACTGAAAAAGCAGGATGGCCATCTCACAATGGTTTTCTTCTAATTTCCCATTATCTACGGTCTAACAGCCTTATCTTTTTCACAAAAACAAGCCATGTCGGAAAACAAGAAACAAACAGAAGACTGGGTCTGATTCTACAAATACTGTATATCAGAAGTTAATCCAGAGATTTTTTTTTAATTAAGTTCAGATGGATCTGAAATTGGCTCTAACAGGGACTCGACACCCGAAAAAGAATTACCTGCTCAATACTTCTTGCTAACTTTAAATAATTCTAGTATTTCTGAACCCTAGTTATCAATCAAAGGCATCCAAAAACCCTTAAGAAATTACCTGAACTAGGGAAAAGTTGACCCTAAGAATACAAAAGTTTGAAAGAAAACATTTTCTTTCACAACTAGTTGGTTTGGGAAATACTCTACATCACTTCTTGTGTGGGCATATTCAATAGCTACCTTCTGTTTAAAATTGTTTCAGGGACACTTTTATTCTTTGTTGAAACGTAAGATTTATCTGTTGACTCAGAACTTTTGATTTTTCTGTGAGCCTTTTTCACATATAAGACTAGTTCACACAAAATAAGGCATCTTTATTGTCCTATTTCTATAGATCTGACCAACACGGTAAAATTTATTCGTAAAAGGAATCATCCCAAATTTAGCTTTCAACCTAATTATACAAATGGATAAAATATTTAATCGGAGAAGTATCAATTAACTTGGCTACAACAAAAAGTAAACATAAAAGCCAAAAATTATGACAAGGCCCTAAAGACCTAGATAAGCTTGCTGAAAATGAAGTCTCCTAATGTAGAAGGAGCTATCCTGGCTTTTGAAATTCAGAAGGAAGTTGCCATCTGAACCTAATTCATTAATGAGCCAATTTATTCAGCACAAACCAATAAATACCTACCTAGTTATAAAAACAGAGCAGTGGTGTCTTAATACAGGATGAAACTAACAAATACAGCCCAAGGCCCCAGAACATGCAAGCAGCATTAACAATTTAATGCCAACTTGCTCAACAAGCACTGGAAGTGGTATTAGAAACTTTCTTTACCGATATCATACTTCCAATTGGCATTTCTACCCTCCATCCTCCATCAACATAAACCTAAGTATTTTAACCTAAAGTTTACTTTCTACTTTTGCTCCAAAACCTCAGGGGGAAAAAAATTAAGAAGCCAAGAAATTATGAAAAAAATATGGAAAAACAGGATTTGGACACATTTTAGGAAATTTACCAGCAGGATTTTCTTCCTTAGCTCCTCTCCCTCCTCTTCATCTAACTGCCTTTCACGTGCTGATTCATGCACACACCTTTTTGCTATAGAATTCTGAATTGACTTATGGATTAGGAAGCATGTTCATATCTTGATTTCATGGAACAGAAATGCTCAGAAAGAATATGGTGAATCTGGTAAATCTGAGATTGGAAATGTGGTCTTCTCACACCTCAGCTGCTCAAAATCACCAATGAATCTGTTCACTGTTGCCTTTCAGTGTTCCTTGGAGGTCGCAGAACCGACTTAAAATACATCCGTTTGCTATTCGTACTAAAGAACAACAGTACCATAGTATGCATTTTTTTAATGGAAGTAGAATACTTTGAGGTGATTCAGAATTAATCTTTAAAGTCACAGAACTGAAAAGTTAAATTGTCATGGAAAATAACTATTATTTTCAGGATAAACATTTGGATGGCATGGTCTTAGCAAAACAGGGCATGATGTTATTTAGTGAATTTCTCCTCATTTCCTCTAAAGTGTAATTATATAAAACATGTTTTTAATTACTTATAATGGCTTATAACCTTCCTTTGCTTGAAATACTTAAAAGCCTACTGCCTCATTCTCTTAAACAAGTGCAATATTCAGCATATAGTTCCTCAAGTCATTCATCTTCCTTTGAAATTATGACTAAGTGAATTCATGTTTGTCATGGAAACCTACAAGCAACAACTGAAAATATCTAGAGCAATCAGCACAAGGAATTCCTGGAAGGGTGATGGTGCATCAAAAGGCTAGCAGCTCTGTTCCGATAGAATAATAAAAACCATTTAAAGGACTGTAAATTCAGCATCAATGGCGTTTCCGGCAGGAAAACATTTCTAAAATTCCACCTCCAGTTTATTTCTTGATGACACAAACCAAAAGACCTCCTATCTAGATAGCTAGCTATTGCAAACAATTCATACAAAATGTCAGTCAGTCACTAGGATAAAAAGCCAGAGAATTCATTTTCTCTGCTTAGAATCTAAACAGTTTCATTTACTTTGGGAGGAAAATATTAATTAGGAAGTGTAAAAGAAAAAACAAAAGTCCCACCATTCCGAAAGTAAACTTTTTTTTCTTTTTTTGGTAATTCTTCTGTGAGCATGTTAGGTTATGAGAGATAATGAATATAAACTGTAAAACAGAAAACAGTGCTCATTTTTACACTGAAAAATAAAACATCCCACAAGTTTATTTTCTTTAAAGTCCATAAGACTGCCAAAAGTCCCGTTGTGTTTTCAACAAAAAGGAAGTATCTGCAGCACTAAATCAGACTGATATAAAATAATGAAGCCACCTTAGCCTAAATAGATTGCTTGATAATTTTTTAAACGGTTTTGACCAATTGAGGAAATGAGTCTGTGAATGGGAAATCTGATTAACAGTTAAAATTACCACTGAGTTCTTTAAAATGTACTAATGAATAATTAATAGCAAATGCAGTTCTTAGGCTTCCCTTACAACAATATTCTCAAGTAGAACAGTAAGTACTGTCTGCAGTAAAATCCATCAGCTACACGTCATGCACAGGTGGGTACAGGAACTATACACACAGAAAGGCATTATGAAAATACACACACTAATACAGGCTATGAGATAGATAGATCTGGGGCTTGGGTAAAATATTAACATGGTAAATTTTAGATCAGGATTTACAACATTAACACATTAACACCAAACCAAATCACGTCTTAAAAAGCTTAAAAAGTCAAAAGCACTAAAAAAAAAATCCTTTGTTCATGATACTCTCTCCTTCTACCCTAACTGGATTCCAGCCTCCTCCTTTGTGACATGCAATTTTATTGATCTCAAACATGTTCACATTCAGAAATCAGTCTCCAAAGACATCCCACGGGACAGCCAGCCACCTAGATACCACACATTACAGACATCTTAAAAAAGGACAACAGCTTTGAAAACATATCACTATTTGGTCAGCAGCATAAGGAAAATCAACCATGCTGTCTTCTAAACAGACTTTTCCCTTAACTGGTTAAAAATATCAGATCTACTGAACTGGCCATAAATGTTTGACGAGTTAATAAATGTATGAAGGCGCAGATCCACCCCAAGATTTCTCTCCCCTTGTGTAGTTCCTCATTCATTCAATGGAGCGCCTAAGTGACCTATTTCCAGGTTCCTTCCTTCACACCTGCCAGGTCACTGTCCTGATCGAGAAACTTCTTGCTGAAGCAATTAATTTTTAGTGCCTCCTAACTGTCCCGGGTGTTTGCATTCAATTTGAAATCTGTTACTTGTTAGACACTGTTCGGTCCTAGATCTTCCAGAGAATTGCGCGTTTATGGCGCAGAAAGGGGAGGAGGCACGGATCTCCGAGAGCCTGCCCTTTATTCGGAAATGAGGAGATGTGAAAGGTGGAAGGCAGGGCAAATAAATAAATAAATCGGGTTTGCCGCCGAAGCGTTTGCCGGTCAGTACGAGCACCCTTTGTAATGCAGGCCTCCCGGGGCTATCGCCTGCGCTAATTGCTCCAGGGCGCTTTCCAAGTTCAAAAGTTCACCTTTTACGACCTCACAAAAGCTCCTTACACGTTACCAATAAAAACATTCCGCCGCAAACACTGAGGGGGAAAATATCAAACAGATACAAATAAAACACCCCGCGGGGGGAGGGAGCCGAGGGGGAGGAGGGCGAGCCGGGCCCAGCGACAGTCCCGAGGAACCTGAGGACTTGGCCCGGACGTGGGGGCTGGGGAAGAGCAGTGGGAAGGGCCGGACCAGGTGAGGAATTCTCCGGCCTCGGCTCGGGGATCGCGAAGGGAAAGAGGCGAAGTGAGGTGGCTCAGGCGCGGGCCGGGACGGGAGGGTGGAAGGAGGGAAGAGGCAGGTGTCCCAGGCACCCGCTCGAGCCGGAGACCTGAGCCAGCAGGGAGAAGAGCCTGAGCCGGGCAGAGGTCAGACGGGCAAGAGAGCGCGGGGAAGGAGGGCAGAGAAGCGGGGTGCGGGGTCCGAAAGGGAAACGCGGAGCCCGTAGCTAGGGAACAGGGGGTCGGCACCGAGGTGGAGGCTGGGGCAGCACGGGAAGCGCGGGACCGCAGAGGGGAGGGAAAGAGGCTCCAAAAAGGTGAGGGTCAGAGAGAACCAAGGGGACAAGGGCGTGGCGTCGGCAGGGCGCGGAGGGGACGTCCACGGAGGGACCCGCGTGGAGGAGAGCTGGAGAGTCGAGAGAGAGGAGAGGGATTGGCGCTGAAGGGATCCTTTAGGGGAGAGAACCCCGCAGAGGGGTCTCCCGGGGGGCGGGAAGGGGATGTTCGGAGCAGAGGGGACCCGAGGGGGAGGGGAAGCCCCTACCGATGGGATGCGAAGTGAGGGGGGGTGCAGAGGAGACCTGGGGGGAGGGAGGGATGATTCGCGCAGAGGGACGGGGGAGGGGAGGCCTGTGCTGAGGGGACGGGGGAGGGGGAAACGAAGGTCGAGGTGGAGGGAACCGGGCAGGGGGAGGATCCGCGCGAAGGGGAACGGGAAAAGAGGAGGAGAGGGAAGGTCCGCGCCGAAGGGGGACCGGGGTGAAGGTCCGCGCTGTGGATACCCAGGGCCGCCTGGGCTTCCCAGAGTGAGAGTCGGCTTAGAGGAGAGGAATTCCCGGCGTAGGGGAAACGGGGCCGGTTCTCGCCGGGCCCGAGCTCTGCACGCCCCTCACCCACCGTTGCGCGGCGGCGGAGGGAGCGCGGCGGGCGGCTCCAGGAACCCCGCCGAGCCCCCGCCGCCTCCCCCTCCGCTAGGCGGCCGTTCGTCCCGCTCCATGCGGTGGTGCTCAGGGCCCGCGCTCGGTTCGCCGCTCCGCCATGACCGGCGTCCTCGTAGTCGTAGTCGTCGTCCGCCGGGGGGAGGGGGCTGTCAGGGGCCGGCGGGCTCCCGGCCGCCGCGCTCTCTGGGCCGCGAGCCGCCCGGCTCCGCGCCCCTCCGCGCCGCGCCCCCTCAGCACTGGCCAGCTCCCACCCCCGACGTCACGCGCCGCTGCCACGCACGGCCCTGCGGGGCACGCTGGGAATTGAAGTCCGCCGGGAGAGGCCGGCCACGCGGGACTCCACCAACTGAAGGGGTGGGAGGAGGGAAAAGTCACCCTAAGAAGAGGAGGCCAAGGCCAGTCAAATTCACGAGCCCTGATAATAACTTCTTGTAAAAGTTGAATAAAGATTACTTCAGGGCCTTCTCGTTATTGTGACTTATCCATGATCAACATTCACTAAGACGCCTCGTATCCCCCCCGCCCTAACAATGAGTCTTTCCTAGGAGGCGGATCGCGAAAGAGCCGGGTGAGCACGTGCAATGAAGCCCAGCCCTGTAGGCGGGGCTCGGGGGGGCGGAGTATTAAGGTATTCACGAGGGCCTTCCTCCGCGGCTTTGGGACAAATTGGACCTGAGATTAAAGCACCGGAGTTTAACTCGAGGTGACTGCGTTCGTATGCAAATGGAATCTATAAAACTCTGCTTTCCGGGGTACTCTTTAAAGCCTTTTACCGCCGGATGGGCGGGAAAGACTAAAGTTTCTCTTCCTCCTCTTTCATTTTCCCTCTGCCCAAAGAACAGAATGGCAAACTAAACTTCAGGCCATTGATGCCATTCAGGAAACAGATTCTTGACTCCTGGTGTCTTGAAGCCCTCCGTTTGAGAGGCTCCTAACTCAGCCTTGTTCGCCTTCCCTTCTCCTCAGTTTTCCTATCTGTAAAATGGGGTTAGAATAGGAACGGTGTCCAGTTGGAAGATCTCAACCCCTCCCAACCCCGCTCCCTGCCTCAGTTTACATTGCAAATCCCGGATTTTTCGGTCTCCGCTGCTGCTGGCTGAGCCCACCTCCTGCGGCCACCAGGTGGCGCGCGGCCACCAGCCTCTGGGCCTGCCGGGGCGGCCGCCTTCAGCGACCCTCCCAAGAAAGGACTCTTCAGCGGCTGCCGCCCAAAGTCTAAGCTCTACCTGGCCTGCCTGAGGACAAAGAACAGCAACACTGGTGGCTTGCCAACCTCTACTCTGCTGGGTTATGCTGCAGCTTTCTCACTGGCTGCCCATTCCCCACCCTGACCCCAACCCCGCCCACCAATCCGTTAGCTTTTCTGTCTTTACTTGCTTAAGTCCTCATTCTGGCATTCGCACCCCTGACTGGTCTGACCCCTGCCCACATTTCTCATCGCAGTCCTTCCCTCATCTGCAAGGCAGGATGTTTTACAACGCTTCCCCACATTTTCGGGTTGAGTGGCTGTTCCTTACCAACATTGGTTAACCTGTACTGCATCCTTAATCTGTGCCGGCTAGTGTTCTGCGAGATTTACATTAATGCTATGTTCTCTAAACTTCACATCTGCTCTGTAAGGTAGCTCCGATGTTGCCCCTATCACACGCTGTTGAAATCACCCATGAATAATAGGGATTCCAAACTCAGTGGGTCAGACACCAGAACATGAACCCTTGACTCCTTCACACTACTGGCTTCACGCAACCCACTCCCAAACTCCTATTCATTTTTCAAGATCCTGTTCAAATATTCCCCCACCCCAGATATTAATATCTCCCCCTAGGGGACATCTAGATCACCTCTGTGTTCCCTTAGTGCTCTGATAGCTCTCTGTGGACTGCAAGAAATGATCTCTCTGTAACTGCTTCCCCACTACCATTCCCCAGCCCCAGAAGGGGAGGAGAGTCCCTGGGGGGTGGGCAGAGGTTGGATCTTCTGCGCCATTTTCTCAGCTCTGGGTTCTAAAATGAGTTAGAACCAGGTGGCTTTCCTAGAGCCACAAATTCCCTTTCTATCACAGGCCTCTGAAGATAGTGACTTCCCTTTCCCTTGAGGTCCAATCAGAGTGGCACTGCAGAAACTTCCTGAAGTCCTGGGGTTTCAGTGGTGGATGAAGATTCTAAGTCGACTCTCAGGAAAGTTCAGCCAAACCTCAGCCCTTAGAAGTAACTCCTCCTCATCCTTCAGACTCCAGCTCTGTTGTCACTTCCTCCCAAAAGCCTTTCTAGATCTCCCTGACAAGTCAAATCCCTTTTTTTCCTCATTCTTATCATTATAACCCCAACTGCTGAGCACAGGGCCTGAACATAGTAGACACTCAATGAATAATTAGTGAGTGAAAGAGCAAATAAAACAGATCTGACTTCTACTTAATAACTGTGACTTTAGGCTGGTTACCTCCAAGCCTCAAAGTCCTGATGTCTAAGCGGAGAGGGATAATGATGACAGTTGCTATGTTACAGGATTGTTATGAAAATCAAATCATGCATGCAAAGCAATTAATATAAGGTCTGGCTTAATAAATGGGACTTGTTATTAATGTTCTTTAAAGTGTGGTCCTAACTTCCAGTTACCTCTCTTCTGAAAATGCCTCTTGGGAAGAGTCAACTACCATAAAACTGAGAAAGGTTAGGGAAATGACTGTTCGGAGACCCCAGCCAGTGTCACAGCAGATAAGGTTCTGTGAGGTAAGCACCTAAGATGGATCCTCTCCCCTACATTGTCCTCCCAACAATCCTGAGAGGTCAATACTTTTCTCTCTAAGTTACAAATGAATAAACAGGCTCAGAAAGACAGATTGAAAGGGAAATAAAGTAGCTAAGGAGAAGGAAGGATCTGTGGGACAGTACCAAGGCCAGAGGCAGACAGACGACCAGATAGGGCAACAGCTAAAACAAAGCAGGTGTGGGTCCCATCATGGGGGCCTTGTCCTGTAGTGGGAGAGACAGACACTAATCAAATGAAATAATCACACACCCACATTTGTACATAAATGCTACAACTGAGAACAGGCTCAGAAGTTCCTGGCACCATAGGAGTGTGTGACAGGGCTCATTTTGGTCAGGGGTTGTCATCAGGGGAGGCTTTCTGGGATAATGAGCCTTGAAGTAAGATGGAAGGTTGAGTAGGAGTGAGTCACACTAGGCAGAGAGAGACAGTTTCAGGGAGAAGGAACAGCATGTGCAAAGGTCCCGTGGTCCAGTTGAACTGAGAATTCATTGTGATTGGCGCCTACCCAAAGACAGAGCACAGAGACAGGGGTGAAAAGGAAAAAGCTAGAGGAAACCATGGGGCCATGTGGGAGAACAGCCAGCAGTGGGGGCAGAGTTCTCCAATGACAGCAGTCTTGCTCTTCCAGGGCTTAGCCAGAGTCAGAGCCAGGCTGCCTGGGGAGAAAGGGCTGGGAAAGGGAACCCCCACCAGGTTCTGTTTGTTTTAAGTACATTTTGTCTATTATTTGAACAGATAGGACACACATTACACAATTCCCAGGATGCAAAAAAGTATTCAATGAAAAGTAAGCCTTTCTCCTTACTGGATTCCCAACAGCTGGCTCCCTCCCCATCCATTAATTGTGTCCATTCACATATAGTCTCCACACATAAGAACATACACCATATTGAATTTTTACACTGATCTAGCCCTCCCCAAGCGATCTCTAGTTATGAAAGAAGCTAATTTGTACTGAGAGCCTACTGCACATGATCCTTTAATTCAGCTGAGAGTTATGGAGCACCGGACCTTATGCTGAGCCAGTGGTTCTCAAATCTTACACCTCCTGGAGAGCTGGTTAAAAAACAGATTGTTGGGCCCCATGCCTAGAGTTTCTGCTTCCTTAGGTCTGGGGTAAGCCCTGATAATTTGCATTTCTAACAAGTTCCCAGGTTGTCCGAGGACCACACTTTGAGACTGCTGAGCTAGCTGCTCGTAGACAAAGTATGTGGACCGGGGGCCTTATTTCCCTCCCACAAGAAAAGGCATGAACAGACACAAAGAAACACATACCAACAATGTAGTTCATAAAGTGATAAATTCTATGAGGAAAACGAAAAGGGTGGGGGAGTGCATGAGGCGAAGTGCTGGAGAGTAGGGAGGGGTTAAGAGTGGAAGGTGGCAATACTTGAGGACACAAGTTGTGTTCCTTTTTAAGCAGTTGAGGTTTAGGAAGCCACGTAAACAGACACAAATTGGAGCCTTCTCGGGTTAACGGGAGGGGTCATTTACAGAGACAGCGTGGACAGGGAAGAAAAGGGGGTCCATCCCCCACACCCCTGGCAAACCCAGAGGCAGAAGGACCTACAAAAGGGACAGAGAAGGACTGCGGGGTGAGATCCGAGGAGCAATCAGAGAGAAACAGAGAGAGCAGAAAGTTGGAGAAGGGGGTGTGATCAAGGGCTGTAGATTCTCAAAAGGTAGAGAGGTGCCGCCTTGAGTTCAGTTACAGGAGGTCCCAGGGACCCCAAGAGGCATTTCCACAGTGAGACCGAAGACCCCTGGCGCCAGGGGATGGACAGGAAATCTGAGGAGTGGCGACCACAGACCGCTCCTCGTGGAAGTTTTGCTGTTTAGGAAGCAGAGCAACAAGGCGCTCCCTCCTGAGGATGGGGAGGGTGCTTAAAAGGTTGGAGCTACTGGAGTTTTGTTAGGGATTAACGGGAGGGATATCGGAGGGAGGAAGAAATGGAGCGTGCGGGAAACGGGTCTGAGCCGTGAGAACGGTAGAGCTGGCAATGTCGGGGTGTTGGAAGAGCTCAAAACCTCGCCTGCCCTGGAAACATCTCTCATCTGAACTCTACAACCAACTCCAAAAGGAAAGCGTTGTTCTCCCCCTTTTACAGACGAGGAAACGGAGGCGCAAAGAGGTGAAGAGACACGCCCAAGGTCCTACATCTCACTGAACAGGACCTCGGCCGGCGTGGGGAGCCCGCGATCCTCTCATTGCCCGCAGCCACTGCGGACTTGGAAAAGATCCTATTCTGTGCCCTTGCAGGGATGCCCTTTGGAGAGCCGCCCAATGGCAAAGAGGCCCCGCTGAGAGCGGGCCCGGCAGGGTGGGGTGCCCCCCTGCACCCTAGCTCCGCCCCCAGCGGCGCGGGAGGGGGCGCAGGGCGGGGAGCAGCGGGCGGACGAGGGGCGCGCCGCGCGGGTCGAGCTGGCGGCGGCACCCAGCTCGCAGTGCTGCCCGCGCTTCCCGGCGTCCGCGCCCGCTGCCCGTGCCCGCCGTGCCCGCCGTGCCCGCCGTGCCCTTTCCGCCATGGCCGCGGCCGCCCTCGCGCCCAGACCCGGGTCCCGGCCGCTGCCTCTGCTCCTGCTGCCTCTGCTGCTGCTGCGCGCCGGCTCCGTGCGCGCCGACAGTAAGGTACGCGCGGCCCTCCGACCCGGGCGCAGCTCGGCGGGAAGCTGGGCGCGAGGGGGCGCTGTGGCTGGGGTGCGGGCCAAGCTGGGTGTCTAGGGTCGGGAACCAAGGACCAGGAGAGGGGAGACCGGACCTGGGGCTTACCACGGAAGCCACAGGGGCCAGGACCCCTGGAGAGGAGCGCTTCGGGGAAGAAGCTCTGGAGATCGTAGGGGTGCTTGGGGCCTGGAGCCTCAGAAAGGGGCGCTGGGACCCAGTCCAGTGCGGGGGTGTGGAGCGGGGTAGGGGGGAGGTGTCAGCACTGAAACCCAGGGCTAGGGAGAAGGGGCTCCGGGAGCTTGGAGGAGGCACAGACTGGGAGATGCAGTCCCCAGCCTAGGAAGGGGATTCCCAGGAGCACTGGGCAAGGGCAACCTGGAAATCTGGCCCAGAGTTTTCATGGGAGGCCGACCCACGTGGGGGCAGTGGTAATTGCTACTCAGCGACTCCTAGGTTTGCAGCAGGCCCTTGGCCAAGGCTTTGAGGCCATACTGGGGACCCAAAGCTCCTCTGCAATGAACCCAACTGGGCTTGCCACTTTACTGACTTCTAGCGCTCCTGCCAGGGATCTGATGTACCCTCTAGAGGACACTGTGTCTCCAGAAGTAACTGAGCTGTTCTCAGTTGTGGCTAAAAGGATCTCCTCTGGTGTCAAGGATCTACCTGGGTTCAAATCCTACCTCCATCTGTCAGCTAGATGACCTTGGGCATGCACCTCTCTGAGCCTCCAATTTCCTCACCTGTAAATACGGAAATAACATAGTTCCCGCTCCCCACAGGTGATCTCTAAATTACTGAGATCAGGCCTGGAAAATGCTTAGCACCACTCTGGTACTTAGTGGGTGCCCAATAAATGATACTGTCATTATGAAATCTTACCACAGAGACCCCAAAACGGGGTGAGATCCAGAATGTGGAGAGAGGAAGCACTTAGGGTCAGTAAGAGCAGGGACCCCTTGAGGATGGGTTGGGACTGGGGGAGAGTGAGGAAGAGCATGAGAGCAAGAATGACTTCTCTTGATGTCTCTCCAGCCTCTTTCCTGGGTAAAAGGTGAGGCAGGTAAAGGGTAGAAGCCACTAGCCACACGGTAAGTATATGAGCAGTGGGCACTGACAGACCCTCAGCCTGAAGATTCAGTTCAGGGTATGCAAACAAGTGAGCTGCATTCCTGGCCGTGTGCTCCAAAGACAAGGAGGGAAGGCGTATCATTTCCACGTTACAGATAGGAAATTAGGATGTATAGAAAGGCAGCTTGCTTGTCAATCAAAAAACCTAAATTCTGGCCCTTTGTTGTTCTTTGGTTGTGTGACCTTGGGCAAGTCACTGTTTCTGGACCTTGGTTCCACCCCATCTGAAAAATATTATCTTCCCAATTTCCCTTCCATATAGGGCCTTCTAGGATTCCCTGTCCTGGCTAAGGATGGGGAACAAGTGAGCAAAAAAAAAAAAAAAAAAACCAGAAAACCTGTTCAGCACTCTGCCTCCTCTCATCTCTCTGGCTGGGAGAAATATTTGGTCTTAGGCGTCCTCCCAGCTGTGCAGAGGGCTGTAGAGCTTGTGGAGGGAGGGCTCGCATTCAAAGCAAAGACAAAGAAAACCCAACAGCCTGTTTATGTAGTGAGTCAGCCAAACACTTGCTAGGTTGGGGTGTGTGTGTGTGTGTGTGTGTGTTTAGTTGTCCCAGGGCAAGCTGGGGCTGGTGGGGTGAGGAGGCACATCCTAGAGTTTAGAGGATGAAGCAGCTGGGGAACTCAGCACAGCCCTCCCCCAGACTCCTCCCACCCTACAGCACTTGAGGCAGCTGGGAAAAATAAAAATCAAGTGATGGGTGAATTTACTCCGCATTCCTCAGCACAGCCGGACTCCTGCTGGCTCTGCGGAGAGAGCTGTTTTCATTATCACCCTCTCCCTCCCCCGTAACAATCCTCCTTCCTCTTCAAGCCTGTCCTATTTTCTGAGGGTGACGGGAGAGCCCTTTGGAGGGCCAGTCTGGGACTTGAAGTCTATCTAGGGCCCTAAAGGGTTAAGTTGGCCCCTCCTCAGACTTCCTGCTCCTGGGAGGTCCAGCCTCCTCTCCTGCCCAGTACTTTCCAGGGTACAGGGGCAGCTCAACCCCAGTACTCTTGGCCAGCTCCTCACTCAGCGTGTTTTAATTTTGTGTTTATAACAAGGTCTCTCCTAAACAGGACTTGGAGTTTCCATCTAAGGAAGTGCTTTGTCCATCTTAGGAGTGGGAGGAGTCCCTGGCATTTCTGAGGGGCTGCCCAGTGTGGAGGTTAGGATGGATGGTCAGGTAACCACACGGCACCCAGGCATGGCTGCAGAAACCTCTGGGAACCTGCTTTTTGCTGCATGTCCTTGGACTGTGGCTGAGAACTCCCCATCTCTACCTCAGTCTGTGATAGGGCTGCTGGCACCTCACTTCCTCTGTGCATCCAGGGTGGACAGTGGGGAGGCCAAGGCTTGTGGGAACTGAGCCAGGGAGGGGAGCAGGAGGGGCTGGAGCAAGCAGGCGGTGGTGTCCCAGGCGGGATCAGATGTTCCAGGCAAGGCCAGTTGCAGAGACTTAGGTGTTGCTGCTCCTCTGCTCAGGGAGTTTCCGCTTGTGGGTATAATTAGAAACAGGCCCCAGAGCAGGCAAGGACTGCATGGTGATGGAGTCGTCCTTCCACACACAGAGAGTGTACGGCCACTCTCTGCAGGAAAGGTCTTGCCCCGTCTCTCCCAGTGGCTGGGGTACATGAAGACATCCTAGGTGTCAAGGCCCCTGCCCAGGATTTACATTCAGGATCTTACACATCACTCAGAGACTTCGGTGGTCCCTCCCTGTTTCACAGATTTAAATACCGAGTCTCAAAAGAGTCACATTGGGGCTGCTTAAAAATCCTAGACAGGGACCTTGGAGAGTTTGAAGATTCCTGGAGGTCTGGGTTCTCAGCCTTTAGTGAGCATCCAGATGACTGGGGGAGCCTGAGAGAGTCTGAGTCAATGGGTGCAGAGTAAGGACAGTGCATCTGTGTTTTCCAAGTCTTTCCACCCCAGGTAATTCTGAGGCACATCCCCCAGTTGAGAGCTCATGGAAGTTTGTGGAGCAAGAGAGTAACAGATCATCAAAGAGGAGCTTTTGGAAAGTTAATCCAGCAGAGAGGAGGCTCCTGTATTGTCCAGGTAGCAGTTAATGCAACCTGAACTCAGGCTGTGGCCATGGAGTAGAAAGCAAGGGATGGAGATGGGAGATATTTAGGTTGAAGCATCGAAAGAATGAGACTGATAGGTTCCAGAGTAAGGAGGCCTAGAGATCTGGGTTGGGCAGGAGTGTAGGTAGACAGGGGTCTGGAAGAAGATGCTGGGCCCTATTTTGGATAGATTAAGTTTGGGGTGCCTGTGGGCATCCAGGGGGTGGGGTCGAGCTGGCAGTGGGCTCTAGGGGAGGTCTTTACCTGCAGGAGGACATGGAAACTGCCTCTCGGTGAGTCTGTGCTAGCTATGAGAGAATAGGGAAGACTCAATCTCAAGGTGACACAATTTGAACCTGTTCTGTTTCCAGAACATTTTATGGGTTGAGTCTCCTCTTCCCCATTCTGGCCAGATTTATCCAGCTCTCTTCAGAAAAATCTCAAGTATGCCTTCTCACCATCTTATTGTGGGATTTCCTTGCAAATAGCTAGGGACTCTTTAAGCACAAACCACCTACACTTCTGGGGGCTTTGGCAGCAAGTGTGCTGAGTGAGGCTGGAAGAAGAGATGAGGGGCTGAGGCAGGGACTTTCCTGCTTGGCAGCGACTCCAGCCCCCATGCCAAAGGCAAGGTGGATCAGGCCCAGTGGGAGCCCCATTTCCTGGGCCCAGTCCAGGGCCACTTTCTCTATCCCAGTCCAAGTGCTGGTGGAGGAGCCCTTGTCTGATGACTAGGGATGGTCCTAGGAGGAAGAGCATGTGAACTAAATTTTGGAGTCAGGCTGCGCTGTGTGATGCTGGGCAAGCTCCTAGTCTTCTCTGGTGCTCAGATTTCTCCTCTCTAAGATGGGGCTGTGCTGAGAGCAAAGAGAGGTAGAAGATGATGTACAAATATAGGGAGGGATGTTGGCAATGACTTCAATAGCAGGTACCACTTAGAGAGCAGTTGTTCTGTGCCAGGCTCTGTGCCAGGTGCTCTGCATGCATTGGCTTATTTTAGCCTCAGGACAAGCTTATGAGGAAAGGACTGTTACCCTCCTCATTTTACAGAGGGGGAAGCTGAGGCTCAGAGGGGTCAAGACCGTGCAGGGAGGACACGTGCGAGCTGGGATTTGAGCCCAGGCCTGGCTCCTTCCCATGGCACTCTCCAGCCTCCAGTCAAACACCACAGGACACAGTAACCACAGGAGGTGGGGCCCTGCCTGGGCTCCCAGCAGCTGGGGCTGGAGCAGAGGCCCTCCTCCGACTCCTGACTCCTGGCCCATGTCAGGGCCTTGGCCGCCCCCACCAGGACGTAGCACCTCATCTGAGGAGGGAAGGAATGTTGCAGTCTGATGTGGAGGCTGCTGCTGGTGGGGATGGGCATAGAGATTATGGGTGGGTCCCAAGGAAGAGGCCTGTCTGGCCTGGCCACACAGAACACACCACACCCACCCACTAGTCTCTTAGCCCCACCTGGGGGAGTGGGTGGTGGTGGCTAGGGGTCCCAGCAGAGCTGGGAAGGGGGCCCAGAAGCCTTGAAGAGAAGGCAGGCTGCTGCACTAGCAGCGATCTAAGGAATGCACAGCCACCGAGCCTGGCTGTCACGTTCACAGACAGGGAAAATTGCCCAGCAGTGCCCAGAGTACACTAGGCCCACCAAGGGCCCAGGACAAGGTTTCCACCCATAGCCACCCCTCCCCCACCCTCCTCATCCTCCAGGGGAGTGTTGGTCCAACCACCCTGGGCTCTGATCCCCTTGAGCAAGCTCCAGGGCTGTTTCCTTGTCTGTAGGACACTGCTAAGAATATCAACCTCCTGTCAGGGTGAGTGGCGGGAATAATAACAACTACGACACACAGGCTGCTGGGCATGCTCCTGGTGGCTGGACTCAGCGTATTCTGGTATTCTCAGTCCTCACACGCCCTTTATTGGGTAGATACTAGTAGTAACCCGCAGGCACAGACAGGTTAAGTAATCTGCCCAAGAGCACACAGCTGTAGGTGGCCCATGGCTGTGTTCCTAACCACTGCCCCATACTTGCCCAGCACTCAGTGAGTTCTCAGTAACTGTCTCGTCCCTGGGCCCTGCACCCCAGGCTTGCCTCCTCCATCCACCGTCTGTCCACAAAGCAGCCTGATTGAGCTTCTCATGATGCAGATCGGACCCTGGCTCTCCCCTGCTTAAAACCCTCCCATGGCTCCCCAGTGTTTTCAGGAAGAAGCTCAGATCCTCAGCTAGCTTGCAGGGCCCTCCATGAGCCGGGCTCTGCCCCCACCCCAGCCTTACCTTCTGCCACCCCAGGCTCTGCAAGCACCAGCCAGAGTGAACCTCCTCCAGGTCTCTAAAGTGCCGGGCCCTTGCTTGTCTTTGCATATCTGATTTGTTCTTCCTGGAATGCTCTGCTCCTATTTCAAATTGTCCCTGCGGTGCCCTCCTCCAAGCAGTCTTTATGGGTGGCTTTCTCTATGCACTTTCTCTATGTCAGCTTCTCCCACAGCTGAGAAGGTCAAGGATGTACCTCCATCTATTTCTTCTGCACCTCCAGATAACAACCACAGTCTGGCAGAGGCCAGGAGCTCTAACACGTGTCTGAGGGCTCAGAGGAGAAATAGAGTGCCTATGTATCCAGAGGGCCCTTGGATACTCATGGGGGCTGGGCTCAGCAGATAGTCCAAGAGAGTCATGAACTCACCTGGGTTATGATGGCTTCCATGAAAGCTGAGTAGCCATGAGGCCTGGGGTGTTTGTTGACTGAGCTATGAATAGTTGTGTCCCCAAAGTCTGGAGCCAAGGATGGACTGACTGAGCCAGCTAGGTGGATGGCGGGTTGGGGCTCCCAGCGCCCAGCTGGTGTGTGAGGGCAGGCAGTCTGGAGGCAACTGAGCCTGGCACCTGCCACTGATCTCACTGAGCTGACTCCTGCAGGCACAAAGTGACCAGTGACCAGTGACCACACCTAGACATTGGGTGTACTGCAGCCCAGGGTGGGATTGAAGGAGAAGGGAGGAGGGTACGGAAACCACTAAGTGAGGTCATGTTATCTCATTTGAGCCTCACTACCAGGAGGCTGGGTATCGAGTCATCCATTTTACCAATGAGGGAACAAGACTCAGAGAGGTTCTATAACCTATTTAAGGTCACACAGGGTTTGGGGGAACAGATTTGTAGGAGAAGCAGCATAGCCCAGTGATTTTGATCTGGAGTCAGGTCCAAAGCTGGATCTTCCCAGTCAAAGCTATGCGAACTTGGACATGTGAATTCACCTCTCTGAGCCTCGGTTAATAATGGCTCACATGTCTTCAAACACGCTCACGATTGCAAGGTTCTGTTCTTTACCTCCATTAACTCATTAAATCTTCACAACAACCCATGAGGCACAACCCCATTATACAAATGGAAAAGATGCACAGAAAGGTTGGGTTGCCCACCATCTCACAGTTACTAACCATGCTCTTAACCCTGTGCTCTGAAGTGTCTGTAAAATGCAGGCTCATTTATTCAACAGATATGTACAGAGCTCCTGCTATGGGCCAGGCAGGCAGTGTTCTGGGGATATAGGAGGGAACTAGAAAAAGCCCCTGCCTCTACTGGTGCCTTCATTAGAGTATGGGAGACAAATAAGCAAACACAGATAAAAGATTTCAGACAGCGATAGGTACAATAAAGAAAATAAGAGCCACTAGATAAGGGGACAGAGAGTAATGAAAATGGTGGTCAGGGAAGGCTTCTTGGAGGAGGTGATGTATAAGCTAATGTGAAGGAATGAACCAAGGAAATATCAAGGTTTCAGGATGAGGGTACCAAATATGCAAAGGCCCTGAGGCTGGGGTGGGATGAAGGAAAAAGTGGCAAGAGGAGGGGTTTGGGAGAGGGTGTCAGCTCACCTAGGCCTTGAAGGCCATGGTGAGGACTTTGGAGGTACTGATACCCCTGTACACAAATATTATTAAAGGGTGTAAGGCACATGAAACCTGGGAGATAATAAGTGCTCAATAAAAGATCTCCCTTTATATTTTTTACTGTTGTGGTAAAATATACATAACATAAAATTTACCATTTTAAAGTATACAATTCAGTGGCACTTATGTAGTACATTGACAGTGTTATGCAACCATCACCACTACCTAGTTCCAGAAAATGTTCATCACTCCGAAAGGAAACCCTATACCCATTAAGTGGACACTCCCCGTTTGCTCTTCTCTCTACATCCTGGGAACTGCTAATCTGCTTTTTCTCTCTAGGGATTTGCCTATTCTGAATATTAACAGCAATGCAATCATACAATATGTGGCCTTTTGTGTCTGGCTTCTTTCATTTAGTATATTTTTCAGGGTTCATCCATGTAGCATGTATCAGTACTTCATTCTTTTTATGGCTGAATAATATTCCATTGTGTGGATATACCACACTTTGTTTATCCATTCATCAGTCGGTGAACATTTGGTTGTTTCTACCTTGTGGCTATTGCGAATGATGCTGCTGTGAACATTCATGTACAAGTCCTTGTTTGAATACCTGTTTCAATCCTTTGGGTATATACCTAGGGGAGTTGAATTATTGGGTCACATGGTAATTCCATGGTTAATGTACTGAGAAACAGCCAAACTGTTTATCACAGCAGCCATTACTCTTTTCATTGTTGTTTATTATTATAACGCCTCTGTTTCCTTGTAAGGGTTGCTAACCAGCTCCTCAGCCCACCCTACCCATGCCCCTAAAGGCCAGGTGGGGGCGAGATCCCGCTACCTGCCCCTCCCTCTCCTTCCCTCCCCTCCGCTCCCCCTTCCTCCCAGTATTGGCCTTTGGCTCACCTTTTGCAGGTGTTTGGCGACGTGGACCAGGTGCGCATGACCTCGGAGGGCTCCGACTGCCGCTGCAAGTGCATCATGCGGCCGCTGAGCAAGGACGCGTGCAGCCGCGTGCGCAGCGGGCGGGCACGCGTGGAGGACTTCTACACGGTGGAGACGGTGAGCTCCGGGACCGACTGCCGCTGCTCCTGCACGGCGCCGCCCTCCTCGCTCAACCCCTGCGAGAACGAGTGGAAGATGGAGAAACTCAAGAAACAGGCACCCGAGCTCCTGAAGGTAGACTTTCTGGAGTAAAGGCAGGGATGGGAACCCCTCCTGCGTGAGTACCTAGCATGGGCTGGCGCCAGGCTGTACCTCCAGGAGAAGTCCACACATTCTAAGGCAGGGACTATTATCATCCCATCTCACAGGGGAGGAAACCGAGGATCCCTGAAAGGAAGCCTTTCCCTGCCTGCCTGAGCCCATGCGGCCAGTCAGTGATGGAGGCAGCATTCTTTAGCTGGTTTACTGAATCTAACCCCTTATCACCTACTCCAGCGTCCTGTATTTTACCCAAACCAAGTCATCTGTTGGCACCTCCATGGAGTATTTTAAATTTTAAATTTTGTGGCATTTGATTGTGTTCAATGTATAATAACATTGCCCATATTCACATACCACCAATGTGCCAGATGTTGTGCTAAGCTCTTCTTACACATTATTTCTCTAAATTCTTAAACGATTCTGTGAAATATGGGATCTTTGTCCTCATTTTATAGGCAAGAAAGCTGAGGCTGGGAGAAGTCGGGTACCTGGCCCAAACTCTCACATAATGACATGCAGCCTCAAGTTTATACCATTCTTCTATGTGAATTTTGTACTTATAACCCCACCACCACCACCACCACCACAGGCAGATTAGAAAGCGGCACCACCTCTGGGCGACACAGCCCCGTGCGGGGCCCACCAGAAGGCCCATGGCTTGGATAGGCATGTGCAGACTAGGTCACAGTCCCCCAGCCAGCCAGGCACCTCTGTGCCTTCCACATCATGCTCGATCTGGTGTTTGGTGGGCCTGGTGGGGTTGGGATTTGAACTCAGGTCCTGCTGTGTCCAAAGCATGTGTTCTAAATCACCCTGCTCTCCTGTCTTTATTTTTGCAATAGCCCAGATAATTTGGTGGCTTTTGAGAGGATCTTTTTCGTTAATAATTTCTTCCAAACATGTATCTATTTTGCCCTTTTTGTGTCAAGAACTGTGAAGTTGCCTAAAATGTCACCCTACTTGTTAGCCTGCCAGTCTCATGGACACTGTCGGAAGACACAAGCCAGGGACAAAGGACTTTATTACTCAGAGTGTCTCCACTTTCTTCTACTGGTTCTCCCACTCCACTTCCCACAGGGGGATGCCGTAAGGGCCACGAACACATGCACACACAGGGGGATGCCATGAGGGCCATGTAACACCTGCACACACACAGATGTTTTCCGAGAGAGGAGCCCCAACTTAGATACTCCAGATCTTTTATAGCAGGCACCGACATGCCTTCCCTGCTCCAGAGGGAAATACTCTCTGGATGTGCCAAGGCTGCTCACTGTACAAGACGGTCTGCAAGAAGGACAGTCAGTGCCTCTGCAGGCAAGACATGCAGAAAAGCAAGAGGCCCGTGAACAACTGTCTCCCAACATGTGGCTAAAAATGTTTTCTCTAAATATAACTTTAGTTTTATTTTTGTAACAACTGAATGGATACCAAAACTCTCAAAGTTGTTGGTGGGGAGGGGGGTTAACTTTTAGGCCATGTGGCCTCTTGACAGTTTGTGAGTCCCTGGGCCACACTATCTCCCTGGGGATCCACCAGGGTCCTGCAGACTCCAGGCACTGAAGCCACAGGCCAGTTACAGGGACAAACCCAACTTTCAGATCTACTTCTCAATAACTGAATTGTAAGCATACTTGACATGAGGATCCACAAAACCTTTTCTAAAATGCTGGTTAATTTAATTCTTGCTACAACCCTTTGGAGAGGGAACTTACTAAAGTTCCCAGCTTTACCCGGGGGGGAAATCTGAAGCCCAGAGAGGGATTGTGACTTGCCTAAGATCACATGGTAATAAATTGACAGCACTAAGATTTGAACCCAGGAATTCTCTGCTGTGTCCCCTTGCCCACTGGAATGGTCACTAGGCAGTTCTCTCAGCCAGGAGCCCAGTGGCCTTTAGGCCCTTTAGGCCCTTCAGTGCACAGCAGCCGTGGGGGTTTTTATGCAGCCTTAGAGGACTGGAGGGGGGCAGTGGTGGGATTAACTCACAGGTGGGGTTGTAGGAGGAACACAGAGAAGATACTCTGCCTCCCTGACACTGTTGGAGCAGGAGTGAGTAACTGAGAGGTACCCAGAGAACCCCAGGAGGAGAAGCAGACAGAGACAGAGTGAGACAGGGCTGAGGCCTCTCCCATTTGGCTTAGCTCCCCCTCCCTCAGCGGGGGGCTCTCCGTGGACAGCCCCCCAGGAGAGAAGGTTAGGGGAAGCCACTGTGGAGAGGGACAGGGCACACCCACCCTGTACCTATCCCTTGTCTCTACCCCACCCCTTCCCCTCCAGCTAAGAACTCCAGCTGTGATGTGGCATAACTCTGAGTAGGAGGGATGGGATTCTAGATCCCCTTTCTTGCAGAGGTTGGCTTCAGGGGGCATACCTTTCGCCTCTTCATCCCCTTTCCTTCTGGACATGAAGTAGATGTGGCCCCACTGTTGAGGAATCCCTAGTCTTGTGGGTACACAGCTCCTGACCTTGGTAATGGCAGTGTGGTCAGTGCTGGGCCAAGGGACGTCCCAGGAACCATGGGAAACCAGAGGAGGAGGTAATATTAGAGCTGGGCTTTGAGGGATGTGTAGGAGTCCCTCAGGTAGAGCAGAAATAAGGACATTCTGGGTGAGAGTCAGTGGAGTAGGTGTGACCCAGGGTGCCTTCCTGCCCTCTCTCTGCCCCAGCCCCACTAGCACCTGTCAGTTCCTCTAACACAGTGCTTCTCAAACTGTAGGGGGTGAAAGACCAATTTTTTTTTTTAAGATCTGTCACAGAACAATACTTCTGTAAAATACTATAAAAATGAATTGTTAGAGAAATGAAATGGAATGGAAATAGACGTGCAAAATAAAGTCCAGTGTTGTATTATTAGAGTCCACAGGTATAAAATTGCTCTGTCAAATGGCTCTGAAAGTGTGGAAAAGCCTACTCTCACTTTTGGTAGTTATTTTATCACAGACTGGTAACAAGCAGCTTGGACTGGTGCTGGTCCGCAGACCACACTTTGAGTAGCATGGCTCAAACACGCCATCTTTCTTCTCACCTCCAGCTCTGTGCACAAGCTGTTCCCTTTATTCCAGAAGCCTGGAATGTCCTTCTCCTGCCATCTTTGCCTAATTTGGGCTCCTCCTTCAGAGCTCAGTTCAAACCAAACTTCCTCCTGGCAGATTTTACTAACCCACACTCACTTCCAGACAAGGTCACGCCCCATTGTTAAAGACCTGGGCACCTGTGTGTTACTCTGCATTCCTTGACAGCCTGTGAAAGACCATGAAGGCTCACGTCTGTCTTACTCATCACTGGCCCAGAGTGAACATTTGCTGAGGCCAGAGAAGGTGGCAGGGGCAGATCAAGGAGGGCTCGTATACCGGGCACAGAAGATAAGAAGCTACATATGGGCACTGGGGAGCCACAGCAAGTAATCTAGCAGGGGAGAGAACCATGGTCAAAGCTGTGCTTTGGGAACCCAGTTTGGGTGGCCACAAAGGCAGCAGAGTGAAGCTGGGAAGTTCCATTTAGCCACCTGGAATAGTAATCATGATTGCTAATGTTCCCGAAGCCCTTGCTGTGTGCCCACTCTGAGATGAGCCCTGCCCAGACAGTACTGCTCCTCACCACAGCCTTGCTGCCCACTTCACAGAGAAGGAAGCTGAGGCCCAGGAGAGTCTACATGCGTGGTTCCACAGAGCCCTGGGAGCACTATGTAACCCCTCAGAGCCTGAGCAGGGTGGTAGGGGAGCAGAGAAGGTCCTATCGCTCCTTCCATCAGAGCCTTCCACCCCCTTTTCCTGTTTTAGAGATTAGAGTCTACTCAGAGAAAAGCTCTCTGGCTTAAAACAGCTTGAACACCCCTGGGAGAGTGGGAGTAAAACTGTGTTGGAAACAGCTGGCCAAGGCCAGCCAGGAGCGCTGGTCTGCTCAGACCCTGAGAAATGCACACAGGAGTGGGGACTGGAGGAGCTGCCCACCCGGAGCAAGGGAAAGCTGACTTCCCAAGCCGTCCCCTGTGCCAAGCGTTCCCTGACACTCTCGCTGGCATCCTGGCCATCTGGAGGGAAGGATCACACCCTGATGTGGTGTGACGGAGAGGGGAAGGAGAGGGGGCAGCTCAGGGGAGAGCCCGGAACTGAGCAAGGGAGACGCAGCATCTGCTGCTGACTTGTGAAAGCCCCTCCCCCTCTCCTGGCCTCAGTTTCCCCATCTGAACACAGGACGGGAGCAGTAAAGCGTGATAGGAGAGAGGCTTTGGCTTCTGCTCCTGGCCCCACCATTTAGCAGCCAGGTGGCCTTAGCTTCACCTCTGTAAGCGGCAGCTGCCCAACTGTAAGATGAAAAGTTACCCAAGCCCCGTCTTAGGCTGGGTCCCTAGAAGCAGATTCTGAGGCGAGTGCCTTGTGTGCAGGGGTTTTATTAGGAAAATGCTCCCAGGAGAAACGGATACCAAAGTGGGAGCAACAGCAGTGACTGGTGGGGGAAAGAGGGAGGGAAAGAAGCCCAGCAGGGCTGTGGTCTCGGCTCACATGCCAGCTTCAGCCCCAGGGGATGGGGGCTGGGCTCTAGATGCCCGCAGCAGGCAGGCATTGCCTACAGGCAGCCCCAGGAGGACATACCCTCCCAGGCACAGGGAAGCCAGGGATGGGCCCAAGGAGCAGTAGGGGGATGAGGATGGAGCTCCTGCATCTCATGGGGTTGTTGAGGATTAAGTGATTGGCTCATTCAAGCCCGTACCTGGTGCCTGCTACACAGTAAATGCTCAAAAGATGGAACCGGATGCTTTTCTCATGATATGAACAAGCTGGGTCTAGTCGAGCAGACCATTCTGAGGCTCTGGGGTTCTGGCTCTGGTGGGGCTCCTTTTGCACCCTCTGTGCCTGGCCAAGTGCTGGGCCCTTTCCCCTAACCTTCACCCTTCCCCGGGCAGCTGCAGTCCATGGTGGATCTCCTGGAGGGCACCTTGTACAGCATGGACCTGATGAAAGTGCACGCCTACGTCCACAAGGTGGCTTCCCAGATGAACACACTGGAAGAGGTAAGGGCAGGGCTCGAGCCAGAGGCCAGGCTGGTACGGTGCTGGGGGCCCAGGGCAGTGTCCAAAGGGGCCTTGGAAATTCTGTCTGGACCCTGGTGGCTGTTAGAAGTGGGAGTCCAGCAGGGAGCTGGGAGAAGGAGATATAAGCCACAGAGTCCAGCCTTTGGGGAAGAGTTCTGACTGGGCTTAAAGACCTGCAGGAAGCTGGAAGGCTGGGTGGAGAAACTGAGGCATGTGCTGGCTGTATGAAAGGGGTGTGGAGGGGGCTGTAACTTGCAGCTGCCCTCAGTTCGCCAAGACCAGGGCCCACATACTGTACGACTCTGGGGCAACCACGCACGTAAAATACGAGCACTGTGCAAGACTGGCCAAGCCCACTGGGGCCAGGCTTAAGGCAGCATGGCTGTCCCAGGACCCACCTACAGCGGAGGCAGAGATGCTAAGTGTCTTCTCCTGGTCAGGACAAATGCGCTGGAGGGCTGGGCAGGTGGCCGAGACTGCCTCTTGAGGACAGGGACAGAGTTGAGTGAGTATGGAGGTTCAAGGCTGGAGGTTTGAGGTTCGCATCTCTGCTGGCACAGCCTGGCCTCCGCCTGTTTCCTGCATCCGGTCCCTGCTGGGCTGCTGGGAGCCTGGGGACATGCAGCTGCCAGGAGGGGCGTGAGGGCTTCCTTTCCCAGCTTCCTTTCCAGAGGGAGGGGGCACCTGGGCATCCTGTGCCCCACGATGGGAGATTAACCCCTTACTAACCCGAAAGCTGGGGTCACAGTGGCTTTACTTATTCAAAATGTGTTTGGTGAGTATCTCTTACGAGCTAGGCCCACGCCAGCCTGGGAGAAAGGTAACAGTTGTTGAATTTCTACTGTGCACCAGTTATTTCCTGTGCATCTAGTACGTGCCAGGCTCTGCTGTGGCTGGTTCCACAGTTAGCCTCCTTTGACCTTTCCTCTTGTAATCTTAGGAAATGTTAACCCACTTCATGTAACTGTGAGCCAGACAATCTGGAGGGTACATCTGCAGAGCCTGGAACAAATCAGATAATATTTCCATAGTCATAAAGAAATGATTTTTTAATGATGTTCTGTTTTGCATTATCTGTGCTTTGCTTCCTGTTCGCTAAGTGATAACTGAAAACAAAAACAAAAAACTTCTACTAATCCTGGAAGGCGGTGGAGGGAGCAAACTCACTCAGGAAGAGCTGGCTCCCTCTGCCCAAGGGGGAAACATCACAGGAGGTCAGGCAGCAATTTGGGGTCCCAGCTTCCCTCTGCTTTCTTCCCTTATAATAATGATTTTCAGCGAGGGGTGGTTTTGCTCCCTGGGGGGACAGCAAAGTCTGGAGACATTTCTGCTTGTCCCCCACAGCTTGGGGGAGGTAGGTGGTGGGTGCTATTGGCTCTAGTAGGCAGAGGCCAGGGATGCCCAGTGCACAGGACAGCCCTACGGCGCACGAATGTCAACAGTGCTGAGGCTGAGAAACCTGCCTTACACAGTTTGCCTTCTGTCTGCCCTGTGATCCAGTTTAGAATGCACTTTCTTATTCCTTAGCCTTCCTGGTCCTCACAGTCACCCTGACATTTAGTTGTTATTATGACAAGGATCCTCATTTTATAGGCAAGGAAACTGAGGTTCAGAGAGGTAAAGTCACTACTAGCTCAAAGTTACCCAGCCAGGAAGTGGAAAGCGAGGATTTGAACCCAGCTCAGTCCCAGCTCCTGCCCTGCTGCCTTTGGTCCCTGAATCTGTTTACACCCAGGGTTGAATGGACGTAAATCACTTTCAGGTTATCTTCTCCTCTGTATAAATTTCTGTCAATGAATAGGAGCTCGTAATTCTGATGCTCCAGGGCTTCACAGCAAAGAGGTGCTTCCTGTATCTGACTCTAGTCTCTTCCTTCAGCTGAGAAGGAGACTCAAACAAAAGAATGTCACACATACTCCCAACATGCTGAGGCTTTGGGGACCTGGGGCTGATACCTGCCAGACCACCTAGCTTTCCTGAGACCTGCCCAGTAGTTGAGACTAGCCTGGGACAAAGCCCAGCAATGAGGATCTGTGAGTTGGGGGATCCACAGAGAGGAGCCTAGTGGCTCTGAGCAGTCCATGTGTTTCCAGCAGCATTCAGAACCAGGAGTAGCTCAGGAGATACTACGGGGTCAGGGCGAGGTAGGGGTGGGGCTGGGGGCTGCTAAAGCCAGGCAAGGTCCCCAGCAAGGAGGAGATGAGGCTGGGCAGGAGAATAAGACTAGGAGTAAAGGCAGGGCTTGGTTCTGTGGGAGGAGCCAACCCCACCCGGGACAGAAGTCCGAGACTTAGAGACTAGGAGGAACCAGAGCCCCAGAGAGTTTCATTGTTTGAGTTATTTTATGAAAAGGAGGTATGTATGTATTACTTGTGAAATTAAAAAGTAATTTTAAAGTAGCAAAAGAGCAACTTTTTAAATGATGGATCCATAACGAACTAGCTAAATACATTTTGGCCCATCGGTACCGTGGCAGACTGTGTGGCCAGTAAAGGGAATAGGGAGCACTATACACACAGATACGCAAGAGTCCCCAGAAGAGGCTCAAGTGAAAAGACAAAGTGGAAAGGAAAGAGAGAGAGAGAGAGACAGACAGAAAGAAAGAAAGTTAGGTCAGCACTGAGAAACGGTGGGTGGGAGACAGTTTTTTATACCCATTTGTATCTTTTTAATTGAGTACTATGAACATACCTGTTTTTTCATTCATTCGCTTTTTAAATAAAAAACTAATAACTACAGGGACTCTTAGCAGCTGGCTTTGTTCCACCCATGCTTGCTGGTGCTGACCCCACCCATTCCCCCAGGCCCTGCTCAGAAGAGGCAAAAAAGCCTCTGGGCAGCAAAGCTTGATGGCAGAAGTTGGGGTGACCCCCAGGGCAGTGGAGGATGGGGTGCGGTCAGAGGAGGCTGGAAAGGGTCCTGCCCCCACAGAGCATCAAGGCCAACCTGAGCCGGGAGAACGAGGTGGTGAGGGAGAGCATGCGCCACTTCAGTGAGCAGCTGAAGCATTATGAGAACCACTCGGCCATCATGATGAGCATCAAGAAGGAGCTCTCCAACCTGGGCCTCCAGCTGCTGCAGAAGGACGCGGCCACGGCACCTGCCGCTGCCCCGGCCACCGGCCCTGGCAGCAAGGCTCAGGTGAGGCCAGGGCTCTGATGATGGAGCCAGAAGGTGGGTGGGCTGGGAGCACAGTGTGTTAGGACCTCGGCCCTGAGGGCCAGCTAGATGGGAGTTTGAGGCTGGCCATGGGGCGGGGCTGAGAGCTGGCACAGCTGGAGGGTCCGTGGCGGGGCAGGGGCAGGGGCAGGTGGTGCCTGCTGTGCAGTGAGCAGTCAACACAGGTGAGCTGGGAGCAGACATGGAGATCCAGCCCAGGGGTGTGTCCCCTGAGCCAAGCATTTGGCAGTATTCTCATTCCTAGTTCTAAGCTAGTGGGAACAAGGCTGTAGAGATGACCCTCCCTGCCTGGCCCTGAGGGACCAAGTTGCCTGTAGCAAAACCTCTTTTAGCCTCCTCTGCTGTGACTGGGGCCCTGGTTGGATCAGGCCTGCTCAGGGCGAGGTGGGCAATGCCTCCGGGACCCCAGCCAACTAATACCACTTCATCCAACCCATCCTGGGGTAGAGAACTCCTGCAGCAAACACCCAGACGTTCCACATTCAAGCTCAGAGCACAAAGTGAGCAGAAGCAGTGGTTTTGTCACCAAGCAGAGACACCCATGACATACAACAGACCTTTCAGCAAATTTAAAAACAGATGAATTGCAGAAAAGGCTCTCCCTCTGGGCAAATTGTATAAAGGCTCCTTCCTATGAAAGACACACACCAGGGTGTGTGGCTTGGCAAATGGGGTACAGACTAGACTTCAATTCCATTTATGCCCCTTTGACCAGTCACCAGGTACAGGACACAGCCCCCACCACTCCCATGGCAGCCTAGTTTTTGGGGAGCGGGGGAAGAAGGGAGTTGACTTCTTCGCAAACGTTATGTCAGTTACCCCATTACCCACCATGAGGAGGGATGCTTGTTGCCAGTCTGGCAGATGAGGAAACGTGGAGTGAGGTCACATGGAGAGGGAGGCTGTGCTGGAACCTGGATCTGCATGACTGCCAAGCCCCAAGCTCTTCCTCTCCACCCTCGGCCTCCTGTGCTGACATTGTGATGATGAGGCCATTCGTGTCTGCAACGGGGACCACCTAGATGCTGATAAAGCAGGGAGGAAGCCTGGTGCCTTGGCCCCGAGCTGGCTTCCTGCTCATTCCCGTGCCAGCTCCACGGCAAGAATGACTCCTGTTTGGGGAATGGCACAGAGGGTCTAGACACTGTCCTTGTTGTATCTCCCAGGGATTCTGACTAACAATGGGTGATGTCATAGGCTCTGTGTTCTTGTGCCAAGCCGACATCAGAGGCATTTAAAAGGAACTAAAAGGAACAAAATTCACAAAATGTTAGAAACAGCATGCCCTCTGGGCAGTGCCTTGATGACCAACCATCCCAGTCTGCCCAGGACTGAAGCGTTTACCAGGATGCAAGACTTTTAGTGTTAAAACTGGGAAAGCTCCAGGCACGCTGGGATGAATTGGTCACCCTGCCTAGGAGCCTGAGAACCTCTCCCCTGTCTACACGCAGAGACCAGTGAGTGAGAGACAGGGTGGGAAGCTGACCAGTGATTACCTACCTCCCCAGGGAGCCGACCATTGTAGTTGACCCCCCCAGGCTGGGAGTGTGCCAGAGCTGGGAAGTGGATCAGGAATCTAGTCTACCGTGGTGGGCTTCAAGCCTGCAGGGGAAATAGAGAGCTGAGTGGGGAAACTGAGGCATACCCCAGTCATGTATGTAACCACTATGGGAGGAAAGCTGTGACTTCATGGGATGTAGGGCCTGGAGCAACATGACTAACATCCAGCCCCCACATGCTGAGCCTCTCTGATTGCCCCCTCCCCCGCCCCACAACATCCCTCCTACCATCTCCCAACTCTGAGACTTCCCTTCTCCCCCAGGACACAGCTGGAGGGAAAGGCAAGGACAACAAATATGGCACCGTGCAGAAGAGCTTTGTAGACAAGGGCCTCCCAAAACCTCCTAAGGAGAAGCTGCTGAAGGCGGAGAAGCTGAGGATGGAGGGCGGCAAGGGCAGATTCCCCCGGCCCACAGCCAAGCCCCGGGCCCTGGCCCAGCAGCAGGCCGTGATCCGAGGCATCACCTACTACAAGGCGGGCAGGAAGGAGGCTCCGGAGGCCATGGCTGGTGAGTTGGGGGTGGAGGTGGGTTGAACCTTGGGGAGTGGGGGCCCCTACGGAGACCTGGGTCTTCTCTCCAGTCAGACAGCCCCAGATCTCAGCCCCATGGGTTACCCGTTGGTGCTCTTTGCTCACCCACACAAAGGATAATCCCCGCTCAGAAGACTGTTGGGAATGAAATGATAAAACCAACACAAAGGACTACTCAGCTCCTCTCCAGTTCTCACAGCTGTCTCCACCCTCACTGGACTTTTCCTTCATCACCAAAAGATTTGCTGAAGATCCACTATGTACTTGCTGTATTTTCCAGACACTCTGCTTAACACAGAGCTCAGAGTCTAGTGGGAAAAAAAACATACCCATAACCAGGCAGCCCCACATGTAGGGTGGGAGAATGCAGAGACAGACCAGGGTTCTGGGAAATGCCATGGGGTCTTTGGAGGACCTCCCATTTCCAGACTGGTCTTAGGATGGATGGCCTCTCCAGCATCTCTCACTCTTGTCCCCCCGGAGAAGAGCCCACAGACCCCTGTATCTTTCCTACAGTTTCCTGCCAGATCACAGCAAAGGGCAACAAAATAGTTAACTGAGAAACAAGAGTGCCCAGACTTCTGGGCCATCCCCACTGGTGTGGCTCCTGAGTCCCTCTGAGCCCCTCCCCTGATGCCTGCTCTCGTCTGATGTCCCTGAGAGGTGTCCCAAGCCTGCTCCCCTTCCTGGGGCCTGCTGACCACCTCCTCCGTGAGGCCCTCTGCCCAGCCTGTGCCCAAGGGGCGTTGGAGGGTGGAACTGCGAGGGACCAGTCTCCCTCAAGAGCCCCCTCAGTTTTTGGTCTCTCATGGTTCAAGGGCCTCTTCTCCCAGCTTCTGGTGCCAGCTGTCGGCTCTGAATCCTGCCAGCTCAGCCTGACCCCTGCCCCGGGCTCTGCCCAAGAACAGCTGCAGGCATCTGACTCTGTCAGCGAGGCCCGTGGGAACAAGCCCCTGTCCTGGCAGGCACTCCTGAGGCCCGCTGACCAGAGGGTGTGCCTCCATTCCCGAGAGACTCCTGGGGCTGCTCCACAGTGGGGCCCAGCTAAACCCCTGAGCAAAGAGGAAGGCCGGCAGGGAGAGAAAAGGAAGAAGTCAGGCAGTTGTCCTGGAGTCAGGGGGCCTCAGTGCATCCCTGGGGCCCACACCATCACAGTCACAAGAGCACCATTCCTTTGTCCCTGGCATCCCAGCTTCCTGAGTCCTCTCACACGTGCTGCTGCACTTGATCGAGGTGAGGAAAACAGCCCAGAGAGGTGAAGTGACTGCCTCCAGGTTCCACAGTGAGTTAGTAGGATTGGAACCTGGAAGCTGAGGAGTCCTTGTTCCCTGCTGTGTGCCATTGAGTCTTCGTGCCTTCCCCACCCGGACCGCATCCATCCCAGCCTAGGAAAGTGTGTGGGTCGGAGATGATCCAGAGATGCCCCCAAACCAGTCCATGGAGCTGCAAAAGTCCTCCTATCAGCAAAGCAGGGGTGGGGGCGGGGATACCAGGAGCTGAGAGATGGGAGATAGGAGACTAACGAGAGGACAGAGAGAGGGGTCAAGAGGTGACGGGAAGCTGGCTGCACCTGCCCTTCCTACTTGAAATGGCAAATCCTAGGTGAGAGGAACTAGAGGGTGGTTCCGGGGCAGAGGACAAGGAGAAAGTCTATAAAATGGGAGCAAGGGTTTCTGCCTTCTGAAATTGAATACAGGAAATGAAAGAATTTGTACAGTGTTTGACACCTAGGAGACAAAAGGGTCTCACAACTGGCACCTCATATTTACCAGGATCTGTGCAAATGTTTTGTGTACATTTTTCTCTAATCAGTACAACAGCTTAATGTGGTGAACCTCGTGATTCTCCTGAGGCTGACCGCGGCAGGGGACTTGGCTGAGGCCACTCACCGAGGGGCTTGGAGCCAGTCTGCTGACCACGAAGGCCTCCCCCCTCCCACTTTAGAGGTCTTGTACTCCTCTGGGGCTGCTCCCACCTCCCCCCATGGCCCCAGAGCTGGGAGCCCGGTGTGCCTGGGCAGAACTCTGGGCAGCAGCAGGTGCCGCGTGGATCTGAGCACAGGAACTTCTCTCCACAGACAACGCCCTCAAGGGCACTTCATGGCTAGAGCAGCTGCCACCCAGGGTAGAGGGCAGGCCACCCGAGCCCAACTTGGCAGAGCGTGACGAGGCTGGACCCAGGGCCTCCGAGAGAGCAGACTCGGCTCCTGGCACCCCCACCTCGAATCCCACCACCACCTCTACCCCAACTCCCACCACCAGTCCCCTGCCCACTGAGCCACCTCCACGCCCAGAAGTCCCCAGCCAAGGTGAGTAAGCCTCACAAGGGTCAGCAATCCACAGCCTGTGGGCCAAATATAGCCTGCAGCCTGTTTTTGTACAACCCTTGAGCCAAGGATGGTTTTTACATTTTTAAAGGGTTGTTAAAAAAAAAGAGAGAATATAGGACAGAAGTATGTGGTCTGGAAAGTGTAAAATGTTTCCTATCTGATCTTTACAGAAACAGTCTGACAACATTTACAGTGAAACAGGTAGTGTCTTCAACAAATTCTTCTTAAAAAATCACCTAGGATCCTGTCATCAAATTCAGCAACTATTTTCACATTTTTATGTCCTCTGTCCAGCCCTTTGGCTCTGTTTTTATGTGCACGTTTGCAGTTTTGACTTGTGTCTTAGGTAGAAATCTTCCTCAATTCATCGAGCCTGTCCTTCTGGAGGGTATCTTGGCAACCTGTGATAGCAAGCCTTAAAACCATTCCCTACTTTTGTCCACGTGCATTCCACTTCCAGGAATCTTTCCTAAAGGATCCATCAGATCTGTGGACAACAGCTGCAGCTTAATTGGTTTCCTTGCAGCCTATTTCTAGTGTCAGAAAACTGAAAATAATCTAAAGGTCTAACACTGAGGGGACTGGTTAAATAAATTCAAGGGCACAGCTGTCTGGTGGCCTGGTGGAATCTTGGAATCACATCATTAAAAGGCCATTTAATGATGTGAGAAATTGCTCAGTGGAGGGAAAACAAAACAGGATACATAAAACTGTATATTCAGAAGAATCATTTTTTTTAAAGTATGTCTGCATGATTGAACATGCAAAGAAAAAAGAAAAGGAAGGAAATAGAACATGTTTAAAAGTGTCTTTGGATAATGGAATTTTGAATGATTTTTATTTTCTTCACTCTCCTTTTCTAAATGTTCTGGGTTTTCTACAATGATCAGACATTGCTTTGATCATAAGGAAAGAAACGAAAAAAAAAAAAAAGAAAAGGCTGCAAACAGAACCTCAGGAGGGATTTAAGTAAGATGCAGATAATATTCCCAGGACTGTTGCTCTGGCTTGAGGCTGGTGGGGCTGTGTACTAAATGGGCACCCCTCGCTCCTCACAGGCAAGGAGGCGAGCTGTGAGGGCACCCTCAGAGCCGTGGATCCCCCCGTGAGGCACCACAGCTACGGGCGCCATGAGGGAGCCTGGATGAAGGACCCTGCTGCCAGGGATGACAGGATCTACGTCACCAACTACTACTACGGAAATAGCCTGGTGGAGTTCCGTAACCTGGAAAACTTCAAGCAAGGTCGGGAACCCCTGGGATGGGAAGGGGGCAGGTGTGGGTGGCCTGGGGCGGGCCCCGCAGGGGTACTTGGCCTTTCCTTGCCTTGTGGTTTCCTGTGGTCCAGACTTGGCTAGGTTGGCCTAGCTCCAAATGGTCAGCACCTCCCACAAAAAAGGGAGTCTGGGGGTATCTCCTATGTGTTGGCACCGTGCTGGGAGCTGGAATGCAGCAGCAAACAAGATGGACGTGGTCCTGCCCTCATGAGTATAACTTACTGTCAAGGGTAATAATACTTGGAGTTTCCACTTGTTGAGTGATTGTTATGCGCTAATCACTCTGTGTGTGTCAGCGCAGGGTATTTCCATAACTCCATGAGTTGGAGGGTTATCACCTTGTTTTACAGATGAACAGAGCCCCAGGCTTTACAGGAGCGTCAAGTCTGGGCAGAGAAGGGCAGAATTTGGGTTATCAGATCTGGAACATGATGGGGAAAAAGGGTCGTTTAGACGTGATCTGCCCTCCAGAAATGCACAATCTGATATGGGTAACAAAGGCTTAAAGAAACAATTTCAGTTTAGTGCTAGAGGGAGACCTCAGGGGGCTGCGGAACCCAGCCTGGAGATCAGGGAAGACTTCCCAGAGGAGGGGATGCAGAGGCATTCCCCAGGCAGATAGGGTGGAAATGGCAATCTAAGCAGAGGGAACAGCATGAGCAAACACCCTGAGACAGAACACAGGGGCTGGAATTAGCTGTCTAAATTTTGGCTGTGCTGTTCCACAACTGGGTGACTTTGAACCCTCTGAGCCTGTTTTCTCCTTGGCAAACGGGATAATAATAGTACCTCTTTCATGAGTCTGTCTTGATTGGATAAGATAACTGGCCAAGCCACAGGCCCCTAGCACACTCACTATCCATTGCTTGCTGGGGCACCCAAGAGTCCTGGGTGTCCTCATCGGTCCAGAGGGTGGGCTGAGGGTTGTCTGGGAGGCTCTGGTGTGACCACGCACCCCTCCACCGCAGGCCGCTGGAGTAACATGTACAAGCTGCCCTACAACTGGATCGGCACGGGCCACGTGGTGTACCAGGGCGCCTTCTACTACAACCGCGCCTTCACCAAGAACATTATCAAGTACGACCTGCGACAGCGCTTCGTGGCCTCCTGGGCGCTGCTGCCCGACGTGGTATATGAAGACACCACCCCCTGGAAGTGGCGCGGCCACTCGGACATCGACTTCGCTGTGGACGAGAGCGGCCTGTGGGTCATCTACCCTGCCACAGATGACAGCGACGAGGCCCAGTCCGAGGTGATCGTGCTGAGCCGCCTGGACCCCGGCGACCTGTCAGTGCACCGCGAGACCACGTGGAAGACGCGGCTGCGGCGGAACTCCTACGGGAACTGCTTCCTGGTGTGCGGCATCCTGTACGCCGTGGACACGTACAACCAGCAGGAGGGCCACGTGGCCTATGCCTTCGACACGCACACGGGCACCGATGCCAGCCCGCAGCTGCCCTTCCTCAACGAGCACGCCTACACCACCCAGATCGACTACAACCCCAAGGAGCGGGTGCTATACGCCTGGGACAATGGCCACCAGCTCACCTACACCCTCCACTTCGTGGTCTGAGTGAGGACCTGTGCCCACAGGAGAGGAGTGGCCATGGGCATGGGGGCTCCCCACAGCAACTCCTGCAACGGACTCCCTCAGCAAATATTTATTGGGGGCCAGGCCCGGGGCTAGGTGCTAGGCAGGCTGCGTAGCCAGGAGAAAACTTCCTTAGCACCCAGTGGAATAACAATCGCTTCCACTCACAGAACACTGTGCCAAGAGCATGACTGTGCACTAACCCACTTAATCCTCCCAACAACACCCCTGGAGGGAGAGACAGTTAAGCCCATTTAACAGATGAGGAGACTGAGGCCTCAGCTTGGATCAGGCAGGTCCGTTTTACAGATGAGGAGATCTGAACCATGCTCTCCCCTACTGCCAGTCCCCTCCCCTCTCCCCTTGTTTCTCTTGTTCTTTCAAATCTGTCTCCCTCCAGGGCTACTCAAAACCAGAGGCCTTTGGGACCAACACACTAGTGTTGGGTGGAAGCCCAGTTCTGTGTGCCACTCTGGGCCCCTGTTCTGACTGAGCTGTTGGTGGCCCTGGGCTTTGGGACCCTTGGCTAATACCCCTGCTCCTTGCCTTTGGCCCGTCCCCCATACCCACCCCACCCACTGTCGGACCACATTCCAAACCTCCACAGTCACCCAGCCACTAAGCAGAAACCACACCCTAAGAAAAAATACCAGCCCCCGTTCCAAGACCCCCTCCCTCTGTACTCATTTTTATTTTCTCTTGTTCTTCATCAGCGCCGTCATTTGTTTCTGCAGCAGCAGCAGCTGAAAAGACTACAGGCAGCTGCCTGCCAGCAGCAGCTCTACCAGGGTGGGGAACTGGGCCAGGCCCCGAGGTTCCCTCTCCACCCAAAAGTGCTGGCTTTGTCCACATACCCGGGCTGTGGGACCTCTCCCCAGACCCTCCCAGAGCCTTTGGTCCTGGGGTCCACCTCATCCTTTCTCTGCAGGCCTTTGAACCCACAGTCTGTGTGCACTCAGGGATACCTCCAGGTCTGCCATGAGCAAGACCCCAGGCCTGAGGCTGGGTGGTGCCAGGATGAAACAGGCTCCTTCTTCCTTGTCAGTCCTAACCTGGTCATTTGGTGTGATAGCCCAGCAGTCTAGGGAGCTGGCGAAGGCTAAGATCTGGGCAGTCAGATCCAGAGGAGATTTCAGACCTTCTGATTGCAGGGAAGAGCCAGAGAGAAGCTGGGAGGGAAGGAGAAAGGGGCTGTGAATCGGACTTTTCCTGGTTTCAGAGATGTTGGTGTCAGGGCGGCCCTGAGCACAAGACTTGGGGCTGAGGATGCACAGGTGGACTGCCTCACCTGGTGCTCCCCTGAGCCTCAGACCCAGGCAGCCCAGGGGACCAAACCTTCAGACTGGCCCCTCATATGCTTTGAACAGCATTTTTAGAGCTGGGAAGAAGTTCTCTGGTCCAACTACCTATATCATCAAAGGAGAAATAGGCCCAGAATGGTTTAGAGAATGGCTTGGGGCCACACTAGGAACAGGACACAGTCGAGCTCCTTCCAGAGGGGCTTCATCTGTATCCTTTACTTTCCTGGCTTAGAGGCAGCTAGGCAACAGGCCACCCAGCACCCAGGCCATCCCAACACCTTTGGAAGGTGTTTACTGCTGATCTCTACACAACCCCAGACCCTGTCCCCATGCCAGCTCCCAGGTATCTGTATATATGAACACCCAGCTGCCATGTTAGGAAATTCAGCTGCATACTCAAGAGTGTAAGGAATTGCATTTTGTGCAGAAGACATTTCTTTTAGGCGTTGTCAGGTGATGTTGTTTTGTTTAAGCTGTAACTCACCCCGGAAATAAAGGGGAATGATGACACCCAGCCAAGCAAGGCCTGACTCATAGCGGTGGACACATCCAGCCTCCCCCACCCAGCCGAACGCCTAGGGCTCGGCTTACAGACTCTTCAGGGGGCTGCGAGCCCCGGCGTTTCCCTTGGCCCTGGGTGTGGGTTTCAGAAGACTCTTGTCTTTTGTGATATCACAGCCCAACCATGTGAGAAGTGTTCAGGCTCCTCTTTTCCCGTTAGTCTGAGAAAAGGGAAAGTTAGAATGGACCGATTTTGAAAAAGGATAAGCAAAATGATTTTCAGGGCGGGGAGGATGCTGGCTGCAGCCTCTAAACGTTCACTAAGCCCTTTCTGTTTTCAAGCCCCTGTATGTGGGTTACGTTGTTGGTGGTTATTTTCCTCATTTTTACAGATGGTCAGACTGGCGCCCAGAGAAGTTAAATGGAGGCAGTTAAGTGGAGAGCCAGGTTTCCAGGTCAGATAATGTAACCTGAGCATCAACAGTGGCCACATGCACATAATTCTTGCATCTTCATGAGAGTAGAAGGTATATGTATATATACATACTCTGATTGTGCACATTTTACAGACAAGGAACCCAAGGTGAAGGGACTACCCAAGAACACAGCGCAGCTTAGTTTGTGGCAGATTCAGGCTTTCAGGGCTGGTCAGTATATGTTCTTTACCAACTGTGTGCCACTCTAGTGGCAGCTCCAGAAATGGTGGCCATTGCTTTTCACCAGTGTGTCTGGCCATAAACTACATCTGCATAGGAGACTCAAGAAGAAGGTTGAGGTCAGCTTGTAAAGACCCTTAAATGCCAAGCCAAGGAGTGACTGCCTACAGTCACGTTTGGAACAAAGTCCAGTATAAATTAACAGAGAAAAGAAAATTCTAAAACAATTGGATTTTGTCCTATCAGGGATGGGAGGCAGAGAAGGGTTTTTGTGGTGGGATTTATTACATTTGGTAACAGGTACTTCAAACAAGGAAGGAGAGGCCAGCGTTTCCTACTGACCTGGACTATGAAGGCTAAGGAAGCCATCTCTGGTGTTTCTGAACAACATAATACATAAAGGGGACTTGGCACCCACCTCTGATTCCTCCCTAGAGATTTCCAGACCTTAATATTTAATCTGCTCTGTTTGGGGAGAGAACGGCGCCTCTGCCCAAAGGTGAGGCTTTGGGTGGGGGGTGGTTCAGGGGAATGATCTGAGGGCTCCTAAGAGCCCATGTGTTCTAAAGGATCTTTTCCTCCATGACAGCATTGGAAACCACCCTGCTGACAGGAGGACGCAGCACTGGATAGTTGTCAGGGAGCCCTGGACAGGAGTTAGCGTACCCTGGGTTAGAATCTGGCTATGCCCCTAACATGCTGCATGTTCAGGTAGGCAGGGACTGACAATGGGGACAGATGTCAGCTCTCTTTTATGGCTGAAGACTTGCAGCTTAGTGAGGACCAAGAACAGCTGAGGGCCCAAGCAGTATCCTCATCGAGCTAGAAGGCACCTTTACATACATTGTCACTAATCCACCCAGGAACCCCCAGGTCGGCATTACTTTTCCCCATTACAGGTGATGAACCTCAGGTTCAGAAAGGTTAAGCAAACTGCTCAGGGTCACGAATCTAACAAGTAGTAGAGTCAAGAGTTGAACTAGGTCTGTTTTTACACCAAAGCCCCAAACTAACTGTTGTTAGGAATTTTGTAACCAGTCAGATTTTCTTCTTTGCTTTGGCCACTGAGAAGCTCAAAGTCAAATTGAGATTATTTTTAACAATTGTACTGAGTCTCCTACTGGACTCTGACTTCATTTAGCTTTCTGCTTTTACCTTTACCTGGATCTCTTTATTTTTATTGTATTGTATTTTATCTATTTTTGTAAATCGCCACAACGCCTTTTTTGAAGCAAGTTGGAACGTACTTAAATAAATACACGATCAAAAGCTTGACTTAAAAGTCTTGACCAAATGCTATGGTCTGCATCCATATCCTAACATAGACATTTAATAACTTAAAAAATAGTTTGTTCTGAGAATTGGCCTTGTGACTCTACTGTTGCTGGAAACTGATCTGAATAATGAACTAGGGCAGAAGAACCGAGTCCAGGTTGAAAACCAGACCCCTCCCAGTGGAGAGGAGAAGAAAACCATTCCCAAAGTTGTGCAGACACGGCCTGCAGCCCCCCTTCTTGTGCTGGCTGCAGACAGAATCCTGGTCAGAGAATGTGGGGCTGAGGGAGAGGTCAGAACAAAAAGAAATGCTTTCCTGGGAAAAAGACAGTATCATGGAATTGGGGAGGGGGCCTGGAGCACCACTGAGTCCCATGTTTCTCAAACTTCGGTCATTGGTGTACAGACCCTCTTTGAGATTTTTGTCATTTCCCTACCATCTTCAGTATGGTTTACTCTTTCTTTTTCTGATCATTTCATCCTTTTTACTAAAATAATTATATTTCAAAGAGAAGCTTTATAAGCTGTTAACAAAAATTTAAAAAAAAATTTTTTTTTAGTTCTTAAAGGAGGAATATTACAAGAGTAAAAAGAAAGCCAGTGACCACAAATACAAGGTGACTGGGTTGCAACACTGAGAACAAACTGCACTACTGCATTCCGCTGGACCCTGTGCCTGTGAGCCTGGTTCAAGCTCTTTGTATAAATAGGAAGATTAACAAATGTTCAGGGGACATGAAGGGTGAACCAACAGCAAATGGACATTGTCCCTTATGTAATCAGAGGGATGAGATCAGAAGAGTATAGATTCTCCCATGTGACTCAATGGTCCTTCACGTGGTGGCTTAGGTACCTCCAAGGAACACTCAAACAGCTGATGGGAGACTTGGATTTGGACCACCACCGCCCCACCACACACACACTTATTCAGCCAGGCCTTCCCTCCCCGGCCTCCCCAGCTGCAGGCCAGCCTTGGCAGAGCCCCTGCCTTGCCTGGGAGCTGGGCACTGGGCACTGTCCCTGTGGCCCTGGACAATGACAAGGGTCCCACTCCACACAGGACAGGCCAGCCAGAAGCACAGTGCCACTCCTGCCATGGCAGAGGCTGATGGGACCATGTCCCTCTCACCACACAGACCCCACTGGGGCTGACCCTAGTTCCAAGCAGGCCGGACATGGCTGGCGTTTGGGTAACCTGGACCATGACCTCTCCTCTCTGGCCCCTCACCGGCACCGATCCCATCTGTTCCCCATGGCCCATCCTCCCTGGCCTTTGCATTAGCTTCGCATCCCTCTGCCTGGTACACTCGTAGCCTCACCTGTGCATAACTGCCTCCCTCTGGTCATTCAGGTATCAGTTGAAATGTCACCTCCCCAGGGAAGCTGTCCTCAATACTGGGCTTAAAGTTTCTCTCATCACAAGCCCTCTGTCTCTTCACTAACAGGTATTTACTTATTAGTTTACATGCTCAGGGCCTATCTCCATGAAAGCAGAGCTTGTCCCCTCCTTGTGCATCAGCACCCAGGAGACCCCCAGCAAATGTCTGCAAATAGCCAAGTGATCTGTCACAGAACCTTGGCCAAGTTCATATACAGTCTGCTGAGCCAAGGCACCCTTGGCTTTGAGGTTGCGGCCACTGAATGGGCCACACTTTCATTTTATTTGTGCAGCATATTTGTGGAGGCCATCCCTAAGTCAGGTTCTAGGCAGAAGTCTCTAGAATGCAGTCTTGGATCATGAAGGTTGGAGAGCAGACGGGATATTTCCGGTGACTCTCTCCATCCCGCAGTTCTATGAAAATGAGAAAACCCATCATCAGGGAAATACACCTGCCTAAACACTCTACCCTGGTCTGCAGCCAGGGACTTGGGCAGTAAAGAAAGCTGTGGCATTTCTGCTGTCTGTGGCAATAATACTCTCACGATGCTGGATGTGCCAGGCACGCAGCTCTGAACCCAGTGTTCAAGGCATCTCAGTGGCCAACAAAGGCCAGCATCTGTAGAGTCCAGTGGGCTCAGGGGCCAGAATGACTTATCTCTGGCCCTCACCAGCCTGGTGGGCAGTATCACCTGCCAGAAAGAACAGTGGCAAGGCTTGTGATGTTTTGTAGGCCCTGAACATGTTGCCGAGCACACGGTGGGCGTTCAGGAAGTGGTAGCTACTGTTGCCATGTGACCAGTTAATTCCCTGCTCAGAGGATCTGCCCACTCTTGCAGGTCTGTGTCATGTGCTGAGGGATATTCAACATGACTGATGCCTTTGTGCCCACCTCAGCGGCACCAAGCTGAGTAAGTCTCACCCTCCCCTTGAGAACTTGTTGGGAGGTAGGCAAGCCAGATGCGACCACATCCCCATGGTGTTCTTGGTGCTTCAAGAGGAGGGAGCCCCGAGGGGCTCCAGGTGCCTTGCCAAGGGGTGTGGCCTTCTCCAGGAGCCACAGGAGTCACAGAGCAGCCAACACCTCCCAACCTGCCTCCCTGTCAGGGCGAAGAGCTTTCTCTGGTCCCCTTTAATGATGTGGTCCCTAAAGGAGACCTCTGTCTACCTTCTAGACTTTCTCCCTAGGACTTCAAGCCCTAAAATTTCCCCTTGGCTGGGGTGGGGAGAAACGTCTATACAATCACAATGGAGTGTGTGTTCTGTGCCAGACACACTGCTGTGTCTTTACACCATCATCTCACTGAATCCTCCCAGTGATCCCACGAAATAGGTACCATTTCTGTCCATGTTTGAGGAAACTGAGGCGCCAACTGCTACATCACATGTTCAAAGTCACACAGCTGGTAGAAGCTGAGCTGTAGCACCAAGCTCTCAAAATACCACGCCTGTGGCTCTCAAACCCAGCTCCTGGTGGAATCACTGCCTGATTCCCAGGTGCTACCCCAGACCAACAGACCATGGTTTCTCAGGGTAAAGACTGAGATCTGGCCTATTTGAAACGTTCCCCAGGAGATTGTGTCAGGCATTCAGGATTGAGGCCCCCTCCCCCTCCGTTCCCACTGCTCAGAAGGAGCACCCCAGGCATAATGGGGTTGATTTGTCAGATGCCAGTCTGCACCCAGGAAAGCACCCTCCTCCCTAGCCGCCCCAGAGGAGGGAGAGGAAGCAGGCCTTAGCCTGGTGCATCAGCCATTTCTCCCCAACGGGGTGACTGCGGGTGGGGGTGGGGTACCTAGGGCACAGAGCACAAAGACTCCCTCTGCCCCCAGGCAGTGCCCAGACGCTACCCCGCCCACCCGGGCCAGTCTGAACTCTGCCCACATCTGGGGCCAGCTCCTCGACCCTCTACATTCCAACAGGGACCCCATGAGGCAGAAACAGACAGGGCTTTCAGGATGCACGCCTGCCAGGGAGGATGAATTATTACCGAGATTATCTGCCATGAGCTCAGGGTGGCATTTCACGTGCCAGAGGTTGGCTGGCCCTGCCCTAGTCCTGGCTGCTTTGCTCCAGGGCCTTCATTCCAACTGTACAAGGACAGAAACTTTATTCTCTTCCACAGCAAGAGGCCCCCAACCCCCACCATCTGTGCAGCACCCTCTCAGCAATCCCCCCACCCCCAACCGGGGGCCAGAGTCTCCCTTCTCCATGGTTCAACACAGAGCGAATTAGATAGGGTGATTCAGAAGTCAAGTTTCCCAGGTCTTTTTAAGCCAGGGATTTTACTGACAGGGAAAGCTACTGTTACCAAGATATTCTGCCCCAACCTGTTCTGGCTTTTCTGCATGAGGCCGTGACAGATGTGAACAGCTGCTACAGCTGGACCAAGCTTCTGGTGGAAGGAGCCTTGGCTTTGGGAGCCTGAGAGTCTTTGGTTTGAATCCCAGGTCTGCCACCTACCCCGTGTGGAACTTGGTGGTCTACCTGAAGTCTCTGATCTCAGTTTCCTCATCTGTAAAGTGGGGGTGACAACCTTGACCTTCCAGGAACATTGTGCGGTTGAAGTGAGCTAATGGAAGTGCAAAAGCACTAAGTGGGAACATGGAGGGCATACAGCAGGCCGAGGCACGATGCACTGTGAGGGACCTCAAACACTGACTTGGGGTATCACCCTTGGTCCAACCCCCAGGGCCTCAGGTTGGGGCAGCCGCAAGGTGAGTTGTTAGCAAACACAAGCACATCCTTAAAACTGTTGCTCTTCCTTGCCGTCTCTGACAGAGAGTGGGGAGGGCAAATTTCCGTTATCCAGTGAGCCTACCCAGATTGATGGGCTGTGGGCACCTACGGGAGTGCCCACCCATGAGCCCAGGGCAAGGGAGGACAATGAGGGATTAACAATGTTTGCCCTGAGAATAGGAAGTTTTGCTGTTTCTGTTATAGAACATGGTCTGAATGATACTTCTCACTCTAGTTTTTGCCTGGATTTGTGTGACAGCCTCTGCGTTGATCTTTCTGCTTGTTGTCCATTCCCACCCTCTGATCTTCAACTTCAGCTGCTACAGTGAACTTTCTAAAATGAAAATCTGACCATTTCACTCCATTGCCTTTCACTGTCCCATGGCTCCTCCCATTGCTCTGAGGATCAAACCACACTCCCAGGGGTGACTTTTCAGGCCTCATTCACCTCCCCAGTCTCATCCATGGCCACTCACTTCCAAAAACCCCAACCTCAAGCCCAATCACCCTAGGGCCTTCAAGAACAGAGATGTGAGGATCTGAAGCAATTTGGAAAGTCGAACCGAAAACCTTGTGCCCAGACTCACAAGATCAGATCAAGATTAGAGGGGCAGCCAGAGACCTTATTGCATTTGCCACCAGTGAGTTTAACAAACCGGAGGGAGCTGGTAAACTTCCAATGAACCCTGAAGTGCAGTTTGGCAAAGCTGTCATCCTGCTCACCCTTAACCACACGGATGGGATTAGTCCTGAGTCACCCCTGCAGAAGGGAATTTACTCTGCTCTCTCTCCTGGCTGCCCATTCCAAGACAAATCCCCTTGTCAGCAGGACACAGGATGGAGGCTTCCAGGCACCGCTGTGTCTGAAGCTTTCTGGTCCAGG